TGTCCCCTAGTTCTTTCCTCTATTTCCCTTTACTTGTGGATTATGTCTTAAGATCTGTATGGGATAAAACACATCAGCAACTTGAAAGATTAAATCCAAAATTTAGGAGGCAGTGTTTATGTTAATAGGGGATGAACAATCTGAAAAAGATGGTGAGAATCATTGCACAATTTGAAGAATGTAATCAATGCCATTGAATTGTATGTGTAGAGACAGCTAAGCTGCTGTATGCTTTGTTGGGCATATTTTCCACAACACCACAAACAATCCATTAGGGTGGATTCAACCCAAGTGTTGATGGCAACAGATTAGTGAATAAATGAAACACAAACAGTGGAACATTACTCAGTCATAAAAAATGAAGCGCTGATATATGTTATGCTATGGATGAGCCTCAAAACATGCTGAGCGATCAAGCCAGATACAAAAGGATAAATATTGTTGGATTCCAATGACCAGAGCAAGTATAAAAAGTACTGCTATAAAATACAGAAAGCTTTATTAAGCAAAATTATCAAAATGTGATGCTGTTTCTCAACACAGCTTCTAGCCAGGACTATACAGTTCTGAAGGCATGTTTCCAGTTAACCTTTCCCCCAAAGAATCCTGCGCTCTTCAATTTCCACCACATAAAAACAGCAGTTGTGACCTCTCGGCAGACTCAAACTGTATTCCTTTTAAAATCCTCTGAGGTTGGGGAACAAAATAAGTCTGAGGGAGCCAGATGAGGGCTATAGGGTGAATGGGAGGAGGTATCAAGTGAAATTCTCATAGGACCATCCTCTTGGAAGGATAAGCAGGTGCTTTGTCTGATGGGAAAAAAAGAAATTCCTCAGCACGATTTTGTTGGCCTTTTCTCACCAAAGGAGTTTTCAATTCTGTTAACATTTCTTCCTAATACATGCCCATGATCACCCTGTGTCCTTCATGAAAACCTGTCTAGTTTAACCCTTCTGGATTCCCCCCAGAAATTAGCCTGGCTAACCTCTGTGCTTTGAATCTAACTACGCTAGCACCTCTCAGAAGTCACTGTGTTAGACCTCTTTTTTTTTAAGAGATTCTAGAGTGAGACGAAGGCAAGTATGTAAGAGAGAATGTCTGCAGCCATCCGACTGGGGACATACTGAAATACTTTTTGTTTGGACTAAATTGATTCATGTGGAACTGAAACTCTAGTAGCAATGTTTTTTACCTACCCTTGTATGGGTTGTTAGCTAATCAAACTTCCCCAAATTCTGGTTGTTTTATAGAAGGGAAAATGAGCTCAGAGAAATACCTAACCTACAGTAGAGCAGAAAGCTACACAATGAGTGCCAGGATTTCAATCTTCAAATCTTGGCACTCAAGCACTCCTCGGTCCACCTCAGCGTCTTGCAGACCATGCCATGTCCGGTCTGAGGCTCAAAAGGGCCAAGCAGAGTGAGAGAATTTGGCAAATAGGAAGGCCCTTGCAGCTGTTAGATGGTGTGGGAACTTTTAGGCAGCCTAACATCACACGCATTTGTGTTTCCTGAAATCTCAGGATCAAAATGACAAGCAGGGCTATTTGTTTAGTTTTGTTTTAAACATTTCCTGTTGAATGAACCCAGGAAAGACTAGAGGTCTTGTAGGAATATTTGATCTTGTAGGGAGTTTTCCAAGGCCAATCCTACTTCCTGTTTAAGGATAAACTCATTTTCACTTGTCCAATGGCAGACGAACTAGAAGGGGCTGTCACCTGAAACATGGCAGGCTTCCTCAAATTCTCCAAGGAGTGTTTTCAATCATCTCAAGTCGAGCCATTCACCTTCATGTGGAATAGTGGGCTAAGCTGATCATATAAACAAGCAGCTGTGACTGCTGTTGGCCCCTTCGAGGTAGGACATCCCTCTGTACACACAGAAACCTCATGCACACTTCGGGTGTGGGAGCACAGCTTGAAAGGAGTGTGGGGCAGAATGGATCAAACCCTCCTAGCTGTGGCTCTAGCTTGTACAACATAGCATTGATATAGATTCAGTAGAGTCAATCTGCCAAAACCTATTATAAAACGCCCAGTGCTATGCAAGCAAAGATGCCTTACAACTAGTGTCCTAAGAAATTGTTGTGGAGACAAATACCCAAGAACCACTGCATACAAGTACTACCAGGGGTAGGGGGGGCGGGGCGCTATTAGCCAAAGCTGCACAAGAAACCTGTTTCAGGCGTCTGCTTTTCAGTCCACCAATTTCACCTTATAAATCAGCCTCTCACTGTCTCCTTCCTCATGACCAATTGGAAGTTCTTCGAGTTCCCTCCCATTCTTCCTATTATCCCAGCTACTCCACAGTTCATAGCGCAGCCAAGTTAGTGAGCCTTCATGCTATCATTTCCTAGGGACTCCCTTAAGGAGTAAGAGTGACTCAACCACAGCGGGACCTCCACACAGAACTGAAGCACTGTTTTGTGTTGCTCTTCCCACTTCAGAGTTCAGCTCCACCTCTGCTGTATTGTCTCAAACCTCTGTGGGCTCATCTCCCCTCTTCCCACACCTTTGATGTGCACTTCTCTGCATGCCCACCTCAGTTCTTGGGGTGTGTAGGACGGTAGAACCACTGAGAACATGGGGTCTAGGATTCAACCTTGGTCACGCTGTGCGAACTCTGGCAACATATTTCTCCAGGCTGTACTTGGGTGTTCTGACTTAGGAAAAGATAGCAGTCAGATCAACTTGCTAAGATTGTTGTGATGATTGAATCAGAAGAGTTCCTGGCACAGAGTAAGTATGCAGCTAGTGCTATTAAACACCACACACCACATCGATAATCATCTTCAATGTCGCATCTGCCACCCTCAGCTCTCTGCTGTCAAGGAGCTCCACAGACCGTGTAGGACAGGCTGCTTACTAATGAGTTTGAGCCCTGAGAGATTGGAAGGATGAGCTTTATAAAACTGGGCCTGGCTGGGTCACAAGGACCAGGTATGAGAACCATGAAAGGAGCTGGGGCAGGGTGGGAAACCAGAGGAAGCAGGCAGGATGGAAAAAGCTTGCAGTGAAACATGGGAAAGCGAATGTGAAAGGACAACTCTGAAGGCATTTGAAATGGTTCTCCCCAGGGGTTACATGAAGGCAGAATATAAAAAGCTCTGCGTGCAACAGAACTGGGTGGGTGACTGGCTAGACTAATAAAGCAATTGGTCAAAAGGTTGTTGGTTCAAACCCACCAGATGGAAATCCTAAGCGGTGGTTGTATTCTGTCCTTTACGGTCTGAGTCAGAGTCCACTAGACAGACATAGATTAATAGCTGCTCCGAGAGTTCCTAAGTGGTGCAAAAGGTTAAGTATTCCGCTTTGGTGATAGGTACGTTTATTTGCATCCACTTGAGGGCACCTTGGAATTGATGCCTAATTGGTGATCTACTTCTGAGAAGTCAGTTACTGACAATGCAGTGCACAGTTGTACTGTCACACCTGGGATTGCCATGAGGCAGTTGTCTATGTAACAGTTTTCCTCCTCCAACTTCTGCATGGTTTGACTACAACCCCTCGCCCCTCAAAAACAACAAAAAGGCAATTTTACGATCACCAAGAAGCCACATTTTTTATTGGTTAACTCAATAAAATGATATGGTACTACACAAATTTTAAGTGGGCCAACAATTACGTTCATGAAACCAACTCACGAGCAAACGTATAAAGCTCTAGGTTTGCTGCACCCATGCCAGGTACTAGAATGAACAGTAGCAAACATGAAGGTTCACAACATGACTTCAATTCAGCGGAATCAACGCTCTAAAAAAGTATATTTGGCAATTCACACCACAATTATATGCCAAACCCAGGAAAATTAATAACTAAATGAACTAAGTGAAAACCATAAAAGAAAGTTGGGAATAAAAATGTTAGGTTTGAAATTTCGCAGCTGGGTTTAAGAGATAGCAGATATTAAGCACGCTGAGAAATTTTGGAAAGCATTCCATGTTCTGCTTCATAATAATTGATACATTCCAAAAGAACCAACTGGACTGCTAGGTCTTACTTGCTAGCATAAACCATTGCTTACAGTTCTAAAAAGCAAGGCAAAAATTCACATAAATGGGTTTTACAATAAGATTCTTCCAACTCAGAATAAAAGAAAATTAATACAATCTATATAAAATTACTAAGAAATTTTATAAAAAATGTGGATGAGAGAAAGCAGCCAGGCCATCCATTCAACTACCTTACCTGCCTGAGATCACAGGGCACAGGGCACTTACAAGGGGATGTCTGGGAGAGTTGAGCTCTGGCCCGGACTTTCAATCCAAGGAAGGGTAGTCAAGCCCTCAGCATCCCGTGGTTTGGCTTTCTGGGCTTGTTTTTGCTATTGAAAGAACTCCTAAAGGCCACCTTGCCCTGCCCTTGGTTTTGTGGTCAAGGAAGCCAATGGTGATGAGAGGAATGGATGAAAAAGCAGGTAGGTGAAGTTTTTTTCCTTTCAATACCAGCACCCAGAACTATTTTGCACAACAGTTCTAGGAAGTCTTTGTCCAATGCTTCCATCTAACTGGCAGCAAATGAAGACATCAGCAATGAAATTTTTGATAAAAATGTAAAAAGGCCGGGCCAAGTTTGGGTAGAAAACAATTCCTTGTCACATTCGGACCTGCAGTCAGGAGAGCGCTTAAGGGTCACCAAACTGGTCAGGAAATGCTAAGGGTTTGCACATTTCATGTCATTCAAGAAAGGCCTCATGTGTGGACACAAAGCAAGAATGGGTTTCCCGAAATCCTAGCAGGAAGGCAACTCGGGTGAAACTGGTTAACAGAAAGGATGCAACAGTTAACTGTAGGGTAGGATTTCTTTTTTGCTTTCCTTTACAGAACAGAAAAATGATCCAAAAAGAGCAATGACTTCTCATTCTCTGTCCCTTAAAAATGCAAGTATCTCTTCTTCTTGAATTCAACACACTGGCTTCATTTTCAAATGCAATACTCTTATTTTCCTTGCAAGGCAGACAGACATTGTGAACCTACGCTCGTGACAGTCAGTGATTTCCTTCTCTGCCAAAGGTTCCCATGAGCATCCCTGGAGCTCACAGAAACAGAGTCCTGAGGTTTCAGATATTAAAGCTCTCTCCACAGCCACACGTTCCTTTGATGTTTGGGTTATTGAACACAAACTCACTGGATAATTTATCTTCTACATAGTCCATTTCTGTTCCTAAAAGGGTTAGCTGTGCTTTCTTTTCGATGAACACTTTGACACCTTGGGAGAAAGAAAACATGCGTCAGATAAAGCCTGCATGCTTTTTGGAGCTGACCAGCCAAGTCAGGGTACAGGTGAACCAACCATTATCAAATGCTGCTCCATACAAGGCAGAAAGGAAGCTTCTGGATGTTTCGCCATTTCCTATAAAGGATTAAGTGTTCAATTTAACACCTGCCCCATTTCTCACACCAATCTATTGTCCAGAACAATGAAATTAGGGTAGGCAGTTTCACAAAAGTAAACTTCCATGCCAATTCTGTACAGAGCTTGAATTTTCCTTTTACTACAACTTAACCAGTTTTTCTAGTTTGCAACATGTTAGAAAACATTTATTTTTCAGTGACAAAGTTTCCAAGATGGAATGGACAGAATATATGACAACCCTGTGTCAGGTTCATATACACAAGCACACTATGCCAAGCCTAGAGGTGTGCAAAGGACTGAGACACAATGAGGCCATTTTAATACAGCAAGTCAGTCAGTGCAGGGCACTAGTTCCTGTTGTGGGCCAGAAAACTGGTCGTTATACCGTATCTTTGGAAACACAATCAGGTTGACTATAAAAGCAACAAGATGAAATGCCTAAAGAGTTTTCTTCAAAGAAATTCAGCCATAATTTGAATACCAACTATTGACAATTCTTGGATGCCCTCTTCTTTGAGAGTAAAAATCTTAAGGTACTTGATTGTTTGAGTTATTAGTTTAAAAACATCGTAAAAGGTCTCTTCATCGGTCAGTGTAAGACATGAAAAAATAGTAACTTATAAATTATTAAGGGTTCATGAGGTAGCGTGGGGGAGGGAAGGGAAAAGTAAGCTGATACCAAGGGCTCAAGTAGAAAGAAAATGTTTTGAAAATGATGTCAATAAAAGTACAAATGTGCTTGCCACAATGGATAGATGTATGGATTGTGATAAGAGTTTTGTATAAGCCCCCAATAAAATGATTTTTTTTAAAAATGTCTTTTAGCACATGGTGAAGCGGTTATGCATGCGTTGGGCTTCTAACCTCAAGGTCAGCAGTTCGAAACCACCAGCCTCTCCAAGGAAGAAAGAAGAGACTTTTCACTCCTGTAATGCGTCAGTTTTGGAGTTAGGTTGCTATGAGTCAAAATGACTGGATGGCAGTGAGTTTGGCTTTTTGCTCTTGTTTTTGTTGTTCTTGGTTGGTTACCTTTAGTTATTAACATGAAAGGACTTAAGACTCCACACCCCTCACCGAGGCTAGGGCCGCTAGCTGGCCAGTATCACACCTCACCTTCAATGCACAAACTACCCCTGCAAGACCACAAAGACCCTCTGATAGCTGTTGTACCATGTGCCTTGTTTTAAATGGGTTTTGATCAGATTGAGAGGAAGTGGTTTGGAAAATAAGTAATTAAGGTACTGACATTTTTATTAAAACTAGAAATATAGAATTCCTTAAAAGCATGTTACCATACCTTTTTAAAAATAGTTTTAATGACAAACAATTCACATATCCTGCAATTTAACCGTTCAATCGTATTAAGAAGAGTTGTGCCATCATCACCACAATCAATTTCAGAACTTTTTCTTCTTAAACTCTTTGTTATAAGCCCTCCAGTCCTCCCCAACCTTCCCTCGTCATGCCCCATAGGTAATTATCAACGCAGTTACTATGGGTCTCTATGGATCTCCCTATCCTGGATCTGATATACAGAAAATCACACAAAACTAAGGTGACCAGACGACCTGCTTTTGGCGGGACAGTCCCGATTTTGGCAGGACAGTCCTGATTTTTGGAAAGAATGCACGACAAGCTAGGGAACGGTCTATTTGGTCCATATAGACCAAATTTTTAATCAAGAACCCCCCCCTTCCCCCAGGTCAATGGTGTCACCTTAAAACACAAACTGGAAGCAAACATACATACAAAAAAAAACCAAACAGTAATAGTAACAAACAAAACAAAGAACCTCCTCAAATGAAAACAAAGCAGAAAAAATTAGAAAACCAAACCAACTTCAAAATGGAGACCAAATGATAAGGTAGTAATTACATCTTAACCCACCAGCATTCACCATGGCATTATTTTTTTTGACAAAAATGTAAAACTACTGATTTAAACAGAAATAATCGATCGGTTCACTTAAAGTTTTAGCATCTTAAAAAACTTTTGGGGAAGGAAAAGGAACAAGATGACCTTTTAAAATGAGAGCAAAACAAGCACATTTGTCCAATAATCTATCACTATGTTATAAGAAGCAGTTGCTGGGACCAACTTGGTTGGGTTCAAATTTTTACTAGTTCCCTAACTGGCCGCATGACCTAGGTAACGTACGTCCTCTCTGTGCCTCAGTTTCTTCACCTGCAAAGTGGGGATAATACAATACCAACTCCACTCCTGTGGAGAGCCTAGCACAGATATCTTTCCAACTATTACTGTGACCATTTTCTTCATGCCACGCAAAACAGTACCCAGGAAAAGCATGCTAAATACTTACCGTCTTGAACTACTTCTTCATCAGAATCTCCTTTTGTTTTTGTATATTCTAAAGTGTAGGAAAGGCCATTGCAACCCCTGGTTCGAACACCAACTTTCAAACCTACCTGAAAGAGAATGTAAATATGCACTTAATTTTTCGGTATTACATAATAAACAATTGATATTATTAAAAAAACATATTTATCTCTTTTTTTCACATGCTTTATTAGGCATATAGTATTAGATTTCTGGTTATAAAATGTCTCAGCAGGTATCTTTCACCTCCCAGGAGTCACATTTCAGCCAAACAAACAACAGAGAAACTTATAAAGTAAACAATATGCCCCTGAGGAAGGCAATCCTCAGAACAAACACCCATAGTAGACCAAAAGAGCATTATTTGCCTCAAAACAAAGCCCAGAAGGCAGGAAGGGGCAGGAGAGACCCCAGGGAGGATGTCTGCATTAAGAGGGATTCACAACTCATGTCCCAAAACCAAATGCTGAATGGAAAATTATTTGCTCTGTCAATTTTCACCTACCAGGGGTCCTCATACTTTTTAAACAGGGGGCCATTTCACTGTCCCTTAGACCCGTTGGAGGGCCGGAGTATAGTTTAAAAAACTATGAACAAATTCCTATGCACACTGCACATAGCTTATTTTGAAGTGAAAAAAACAAATGGGGCAAAAACACCTGGCAGGCCAGATAAATGTCCTCGGTGGGCTGCATGTGGCCTTAGGGCCACAGTTTGAGGACGCCTGACCTAACCCTTAAGAAAAAAAGAATATTAAAAAACAAACAAACAAAAGACCCCTGTAACTATCACTCACCTAGAAACCCATTAAAGTTTTTTCGTGTTTTCTTTCAGTCCTTGAACAGTTTTTATTTACAGCAGAAATAAAAGGATTCTCTACGTTGGGGATGCTAACGACCTGCATTCTGAGCAGTGTCTTCTGTCCTTACACAACAAGGAGCTAAATGGCAAATTATCTGGATGCAATTTTATTTCACACTGTAAACAGGAAGCCCTGAAGCAAGTCGTAAGTCCTAGTATTAGAAATGGACATAAATAATTAAAATGAACCTGAAATAAGGTTTACAAAAGTCTGGTAAAGAGAACAGAGTGAACCTAAGAACAAAGGAAAACAGAGCTTACAGTAATTGGAGCCAACATTTCACGAGGCGTTGTTTATTACACAAGCCCTTAGCCACAGACAACCTTCAGGCATAGTGGACTACTAGACACAGGAATGACTCATCTTTTATGGTAGATCCTTAATGGAGACTATTTTGGGGGGCACATTTTCAGCCTGGAGAGTGTGTATTCGAAAACATTTCCATCTCTGAACAATGGAGATCTTTCTCCAATTAGGGCCAGTTTTCCAGGCCTGTAGTTGCAAGTGTAGAAATAAGGCCAAATAACTCAGCCAAGTCCTCAGTTTACTAGTTTTGGGTTTTCAAAGGGAGCTCAACTTCGGATCATGCCCACAACTCCATATCCAGACAAATGCCCAGGTAGGAGCATCTCCTATGCAGTGGACACACTATGGCCTACTCACAATCCATGATGATACACCTGGCACACTGCAGACACTAACGGATGATGCTTATAGCTGCACTAAATGGCACCTCAAATGGGCGTTAAACTGAAAGACAAGTTAAACAAATCAAACCTGCTCCATAATGTCATGTACTCAACTGCAGCATTATGAGAGATTTTAGCCAGCTTTCTGAACTAACATGGAAACATACTTAAGATACATTATTAGAGGTAAAAGGTAAAGTAAAATAAGCACGTTGCCCTCCAATGAGCAGGAAATGGGCAAAGTGACACAGAAGAAAATTTTAGTTGTCACATTTGGCTTGGAGGACAAAGGCCACAGATGCTGAAATATACCAACAATTCACCCCCAATAAGACTGCTCAGGCCCCAAATGTCACTAGTCCGGAGGCTGAGAGGCCCTGGTCTGGGCACAGCTCGGACAGATGATCTCTGGAAGGGACCTGTGAGGCTGCCACTTGGATGGAAGAATGAGGATAGAAAGTCTGAGGGGGGGAAAGATTTCCTGTTTATTCAATACTTTTTATAGTATTGGAACTTTTCAAAAAGCATGGGCATACATCACTTTAAAAAGTAAGACGCTCTAATTAATGGAAATATACAATTTACCACAAGGCATATTTACTCTGATAATACAACTTTTGTTCTTTATGAAATATTTGTCGGATTTGGTTTACTTACATGTTCAGGCTTATCTTTAAGAAGCTGTTTAATCTTGTGTACTGCTGAAGGTGTCTAAAAAAACAAACAAACCACATCTCTGTAATTTTTTTGTTACAAAAAATCTGCGTTCAAGTTCAAAGGCTGTTCAAGTCTAGCATTACACCATTTATTTGACGAACTTATGTTCCAGTCTTGCCAGATTACCTCAGGTTTCATACAAAATCTCAGTAATTTCAATTCAAGTCTCTCTCTCTCTCACACACACACACACACACATACAATTTTAAAGCACATGACAGCAAAGTCTTTTTAATCTTGCTTTTCAGGGCCCGGGTGAACTCAGCCTTAACCTCTGCTACATTTCCATCACAGATGTAATGTTTTCTTCTTGTATTATCTATTTTAAATGCCCTGCAACAGGTACACTGTCTGACATACATAAGGCCCTCAAATAATCAAAAATGAGCACACCACCTCATCAAAAAAGTGACAAGTTTTTACCTGGTTTAATATTTAAGAATATCCGAGGAGCAGAACTTAGTGAGTCAACAACACAAATAGGAATCTTTTTTCCCCTTCCTCCCCCAGGGTTTACTTCTACTTTGCTGGGAAGGAGGCTGCTAAAACCAAGATTTGTTTGCATTCCTGATCCATTTCTTCCCAGTGTCTCAGAGGCAGTCCTGCTTACTCCAGCCTCTTCCTTTTAAATGGCAACAATAGTCCTGCTGATTCTTACAGGGATGGAATAAGATAATTCCAAGAAGAGGGGTCAGAATATACCAGCTATTACTGTTAGTATGGAGACATGATAAGAGTACAAAAGAGAGACAATGTCCCTTCCTTTTACTTGCTCACTAACTCATTCAAAGGGCAATGCTTTGCTGGTCCTCCAGCTTCCTATGGTGACATTTTACAGGTTCAGGAAACCCTAGAGTTAGGAGACTATGGACCATTACTTGGTAGTAGTTATAACCACAACTCAAGTCAGCTGAGGGAGTGATATTGACCAAATGATGTTTAAACAAGAGCCTGGACCCCTTTTAGAAATGTCACGAGGGAGAGAAAACACTTAGCATTGTACTTAACAAAGGTAAGCTCTGTTTACTCAAAGATTTTAATATATGGGGAGAGCCTGTGGATATTTACTTGCCATATATACTCGAGTATAAGCCGAGTTTTCCAGCACATTTTAAATGCTGTTTTTGTGGTTCAATTAGGTGCCTCGGCTGACATTCGGGTCGGCTTATACTTAAGTATATATGGTAACGTATGTCACTGAAAGAAAAAAAAAAAGGTCACTGAAAGAACAATCAGTAGGTACACTTGTCTCTCAAGGCCTTTTCCCACAATTCTTTCAAAACAGGAGTCCAGCAGCCTGACAACACAGGGAAGGAAGAAATGCTGTGAAGCAGCATTATGCGCCCTACCTTTTGAAATGACAGAGTATCGTCCTCAAATAATGGAAAGACAAAAAACTTGTCCTTTAACATGCTCATTTACTCTTCTAAATGACAGTTTTTTGAAACTAAACTGTAGGCTTCTTATCTGCCAGTGGTAAACATTCCTAGTCACATTTTCTATGAATGTTGAAGCAATTTAATGACAGTCAAAGAAAAAGATTTAAGTTAAAAATTGGCAGAATTCCGCTCCCCATCCCCAACCTACCCCCCAAAAAAGGCAGAACCATGGGAAAATATATGTAGGTTTAATTCTAGTGGGTTCAAAGCTTCAAATGGGGCCTGTGCAATGATCCAACCAAAACAGTCAGGGCTGCACACACAGCTGCCACAGGGACATGATCTCTTCAAAGTGCAAGAGGGCAGAGAAACACTCTCTCGGTTTGTTTTCTTACATATCCGGGCTGTTTTGTTGTTAAAATGGGAAAAGCATCGTCTATAAGAGTCTTAGTATAACTACTTTAGAGCAACGTACTTTTCTTTTATCCAAAAGACCATTTATTTTCATCCTCAATAAGGTATTCCTTTATATAACTCCAAGTAAAATACAAAGTTTTAATCTTGTTAATTCAATCATTTCTATGATTATATAGAATGGGTCAATAGCTACAGCCCATTTTAATTTCATTATAAAGCCAGCACTTTATTATTTTTAGGATGGTAGATAAATGAAAAGCTACAGTATTATTTTCTCTAACTCTAAACAATCATTGCTGGCAATGTGTTTTCTTCAAACCTTGTACTTTCTCTTTCTCTCACACACACATCTGTAATCATAGTGTATATACAGTATACACTTCCTTAAGACATCTAGTTGTCATGTTTCTCATTTGATGTATGGGAATAAATACACACCTATCACTTATTAAGCACCTTATTAGTAATGGAGTCCTAGTGGTACAGGGTCGCTATGGGTTGTTATCGACTTGATGAGTGTTTTTGTTGGTTTTTTTAGTGGTGCTGTGGGTTAAATACTGGGATGCTAACTTAACTGTAAGGCATGTGGTTCAAACCCAGCAACCTCTCTGTGGGAGAACTGAGGCTGGCTGCTCCCATAAAAATTTACACTCTTAGAAAACCTAAGGAGAATAAATCCTATTTTATGTTCCTGAGTAGACACTAAGAATGTTTCTATCCAACCCTTGGTGAACCACACCATGGACTGTGATAGCCTTAGAAGCTGGCCCTAAGGGCAAAAAAAATCATCCAAGTACAACACCAGGATTCAACATGGAAGCCTGACTGGATGAACTGGGCCCTACTTTAAAACTACCTGTACCTTTGGACTTAAGACTGGAATTCTAATGGGAGGGTACACAAAGGATGGCTACTCCAAGACTATGGATAATGGCAGATATTGGACCTTAGGCAGGACCCCTGGCTTAGTTGGTATCCAATGAAAAGGGGACCCAGAACCACCATATATTTAGTACCTCAATGCTCCCCTTTAATTAATATGGCAGGTTATAATCTGATAGGCAAGGATCTGCACTTGTAAGAAATGATACAGGGCAAATTTCCCTAAAACCAACCCCCATGTTTAGTGAGTAAAGAATTCAAGCTGTACAAAGCAAAAACTCATGGATTGCAGCTTGAAGTTGGAATATGCTAAAGTAAACTCTTTAGAGCAACAGGATCTAATTAAATTCTATGTCACTGGATAAATAATTGATGTTATCACTGCAATTGCCTTATACTCCAGGGGGATGACTGACAATGTTTTTCAATTTTGTTTTTTTGTCTTTTATGTATACATACTTTTGCTCTTGTTGGTTCTTGTTTTGGTTCTGACTGCCACAGTAAACCAGTCATTCAAAACCCATGGACAAGCATATGGATTCTGGGCTCCCATTTAATTCTAGTTCTAGCCAACAACAGTTAATTCTTATAACAGTGGTTCTCAACCTAATGCTGTGACCCTTTACTACAGTTCCTCATGTGGTGACCCCCCCAGCCATAAAATTATTTTTGTTGCTACTGCATAACTGTAACTTTGCTACTGTTATGAATTGGGCAACCCCTGTCAAAGGGTTGTTCGACCCCGCAAAGGGGTCTTGACCCACAGGCTGAGAACCGCTCTTACAACATGGCCCTGCTCGACACTCACTTTCATGAAAAGATCACTGAAGGGTATTACAGCAAAGTGTGAAGAAAGCAGATGGTGCCCCGCTATCAATTGGAATAGTATATGGAGTCTTAAATGCTTGTATTCAAACAAATAGTTATCTAAGTGAGGCGTCAACTACAAAGAAGCACAAGAGCCTGTGTGTTATCCAAACATAATAACAGAATCCAAATATGATGTAGGGGAAAGTATCAGCTTAAATTGGGAACATCCAATGTGTACAAGGTTATGGAGAACAGTGGGCGCCCCAAGCCCATCTGCAGACTATCTAGTAAGATTAAGCCTCTGGCAGATCCTTTCTAGCCACAGATGAGGGACTCGAACAGCTTTACTATCAGACAGATTACTGTAAATTTGAGTTTCACAGGTCAAATCATGGTATGAGACTTGGTCAGGTGACCTCCCTCTTGACCCAAACTGAATTTGCTCTGGGCTCAAATATTTCTTACTTGTTCCATGACACATTTTTTTCTGTGGCTTTTTAAATATTGGTGGTGGTATTTTCTTTCTTACTTAAACAAAACTATCTTTCTATCATTATTATTTTCTTCTTGTTGTTTTGCTGTTTTCTATTGTTTCTGTTGGATTTCCCAGATTGTGAAGCACAGGATTGGATACATAGACATAGTAACTGATGCAATGGTTTACCAGGGACATAGGGGGTGTGGAGGGTGAGTGGATTGGGGAGCAAACAATGAATGCAGAAGGGAGTATTAGAACTGATTGTGATATATATATACAGCTCATTTTAAAAGCAATGTAACTACATAAGTGTATGACAAGAATATTATATGAAGAAAACTACCGATCACAAGGATCTACATGTAACCTCCTTCCTGGGGGACAGACAACAGAAAAGTGAAGGGAGACGTTGGACAGTGTAAGACATGACAAAATAATAATTTATAAATTATCAAGGGTTCGTGGGAGGGAGGAGAAAGTGAGGAGCTGATACCAAGGGCTCAAGTAGAAAGCAAATGTTTTGAGAATGATGATGGCAACAAATATACAAATGTGCTTGCCACAATGGATGGATGTATGGATTGTGATAAGAGTTGTATGAGTCCCTGATAAAATGATTTAAAAAAGAAAAATAAAAGGAAAAAATTTTTAATTTTTTAATGTTTAATATATGGGGTTGCTGTCAGATTTGACGGCAGTGAGTAGGTGTTTACTAAGGAGTGCTGGCAGCCCACAGGTTAAATATTGTGCAGCTGACCACAAGGCTATTGGTTGGAGCCCACTTAGTTTGCTTCTTCAGGAAAAAGACCCCGTGAGCTTTTCTCTGTAAAAAGGTCAAGCCACGAGAAACCCACAGGGCAGCTTCTGGCTGCTGCAACTGTTGCTAGGAGCTGAAATTGACACCATGATACAGAAAAAAGGACACCTGTAAAAGATCTCAAAACAAGTGCTGAATGGATTTATTCATAAAACTCTGCAATTTAGGCATTGAAGTAATCTGCACAGGATAATAGATCTAATAAATGAAACAAGTCATGACTTCAAAATCTTAAATTATCTGCAATGATTACATATTTCACTAACACGATCCGCTCTAATTTACTTAACCATTCCCTCCTTGTTAAGTCATTTAGTGGTGCAACCGGGTAGGTAAGTGTTCACCTGCTAGTGGATTGGCAGTTCAAACCCACTAAGAAGGCATCTCAGAAGACAGGCTGGTGATCTGCTTCTGAAAGTTAACAGCTTTGAAAGCCCTATGGAGTTCAACTCTGCACAAGGAGGGGATGGGGAGGAGGGGATGGGGGGAGGGGAAAGATGAGTGTCACTGAGTTGAAACCGACTTGACCAAAACTGACAGCAATAACAGCAACATCTCCTTAGGTCCCTGGGTGGTTTGTGCTCAACTCCAACACAAAGCTTGGTGATCTGCTTCTATAAAGATCATAGCTCTGAAAACCCTATGAAGCAATTCTCCTCTGTAATGTATTAGGTTGCTCTGAGTTTGGTTTTAGTTAGCATCACCTTAAACTGCCTTCAGAAGCTTGGTAACATACTTTTGGACACTAGTCCAAAGGACTTCTGGTACTGGTCCTTCTTCGAATAAACAGTTCATTAATGGGCCTCATTGTATTTAACATTGCATTAAGCATTTCCTTCCTAGGCCTTCTCAATTGAGTTCCCAAAGACAGGTAAGCCCTCCTGCCTCAAGGCATCCTATGTATTTAGGAAGTAACTGCTCTCCAATGCGTTAGGATCATACTGGGAATGGAGGATTGAACTCATTTTCTAGTCTAGAGGGTTCAATTTTCTCACAGCTCTTTGGCTGAGAAAGGCTGCATTTAAAAAAAAAAGTTTTATTGGCACTTCACCTATATATCATACAATTTAATAGTTCAACCATATGAAGAATTGTACACTAATTATCACAATCAATTTTAAAACATCTTTTTCTTGTACTCATTGTGTACTTTAAATTGTGCCAAAAATGTTCTCCAATTCAACATCTTCTACATGTACAATCCAGTGCCACTGAATATACTCTTTGTGCTGTACAACTATTATTGATATCCTTTTCCAAATTATTCTCCAACCATTAACATAAGCTCACTGCTCCCTAAGCAAACTCTTCCTCCTTCACTCATGGTAACTGGTCAAGTTTGGTTTCTTTCTTTGTGAGGAGTTTTCTTGATATAATAGTCACATATCATACACTTTCATAGTTAATCGCTTTTTAAAAGTTGTATATGCATCATCACCATCAGTTGTTAATGCTCCCTCCTCTCATCTGCATTCACTGTTTGTTCCTCAATTCCCCTCATCCTACCCATAAGCCATTGTATCAGTTATTATTATCTCTATGCATCCATTCCTTCTGTGCTTTGTAAACTGGGGAACTAAAATAAATAATAAAAAAGGAATGAAAAAATGATAATATAAAGATAAAAATGAAGAGTGGGAAAGAAAAGACCACCATTAGTATTTAAAAAGCCAGAGATAAAATTTCTGTCAGGGAACAAGTGAGAAAAATTTGAGCCTAGAGCAAATTCAGTTTGGGTCAAGAGGGAGGTCACCTGACCAAGTATCATATTATGCCATCATCTGACACACCAGAGGCTTAATCTGACTAGTCTGAAGATGTATTTGGGGCTCCCAATATCCTCTCTAACCATCTACAAATTGGATGTTCCCAATTTAGCTGATACTTTTTCCTACATATTTGGATTGTTATCGTTATCTCTGGGTCACTCACACAGGCTGTGTCCTTCTTCCATGTGGACCTGGATGATGAGAAAGACCGCATTCTAGGGATGAAAAACCACCACCAACAAAAAAGGTATGGTTGCCAGGTTACAGAAACTTTTACATGTGGACATTTCAAAGTGCAAGTGGTGCACATAGTGGTGAACTATAAATCAAATTGGGGGGAGTGGGGGGAGAATAGGAATTAACTTTGGTGAGAAAATGAAATCAGAGTACACACCTGTGAGAAATCATTTCCGCTGTGTGGGATGAGAAATAGCAGGGCCTGTGTTTGGCATAACAACTTGAAGCAGATGCGATCATGAGGGTTAAGTACCAACTCTACTCAACAGAAAACTTCCTTAATTTCACCTGTAGCCTAAAGTGACACTCTTTAAAAAATTACTAGGGCTAAAACATGTATTAGTTCTTGGAGAATCCCAAGAGAATATTCTTTTAGACATGAAAAGGAATTTGCTGGTACAGAAAAGAGGGAGCAAAAGATATCAGGGCAGCCTATTCTTGAAATACTAACACAAGTATCCATTATCCATTTTGCTACAACTTGCTTTTTCAGTTTTAGATGCTGGATGCTTGCACAAATTGTCTTCTCCCTGTGTGTGGAGAACATTGATGACTTTCCTATGAAATAATTTTTTCAGAATTACAGCTACAAGTGGCTGTTTTAAGGGTACGAAATTTCCTCTTGATGAAAATGTTTTAAAAGGAGGGAAAAGTGATGGTTGCACCACATTATACATGTACTACATGCCAACCACTGACGTATGTTTTAAAGTGGCTAGTTTTACGTTTACATGAGGCTTTCTACTCGGGGTGAGGGTGAAAACCCAAAGGGCCAGTTTTACCAGGTCCTACTGGGTCGCTATGAGTCGGAATCGACTGGATAGCAGTGAGGCTTTTTTGTTTTGGGAGTTCGTATAGAAATTATAACAATAAAAATGAACATTGCAAATACAGGTAGATTTCCGTGTGCCCTGCGCAGGCTGACTTTTCACCTAGAAAACGCTGTGAGTTCCCTCAACGGAGCAAATCCTATTTTCCTTTGTCCTTTGGCGAGCCTAGCCCAGCCAATGATCTCTGTGGGAACAGGCATTGGCTCACAAAGCCTCTCAGGACAGCGGGAAGTAACCCTTCAGCACAGTACTGGGGGTGGGGGCTGTTTATCGTGATTAACTCCCTCCCGCCCTATGTCGCTCCCGCACCCCCCAGGCTGTCATTAGAGGAGCCTCACTCCTTATGCACGCTAAGGGATGTCGTTTGTTAGTCATTTGTCGCCAGACCAAGGCCACCCCACGTGCGTACAGCACTGCTCTGTTAAGTTCCCTAGGTGGTGACTTTCCGAAAGCAGATCTCCAGGCCCGTGTTCCAGGAGACTCAGGGAACCTTTAAACCACCAACTTACGTCTGGTACAGCGCTGAAGCGCGTCTGCGCCTCTCAGAAAGTCCTCATTTATTCACCGAGAGATCCTCCGCACTTAGCACAGTCGGCTGCTTTAACGAAACCAGACTTCAAGTAATTGCACCCAGCAAAACGAGGAAGAAGTTTCCGGCTTGCTTCTGGGCCCTAAGTAAGGCTGCGGAGGGCGCACCGCCCCTCCCCCACGTGACCTGGAGAGGGGTGGGCGCACACCCTGCTGGGTAATGTAGTCCCCACTGCGCCCCGGGTTTATTTGTCCCCGCAGGGAGCCCAGAGAAACCTTCCAGGCTAACGGGCGTCGGGTCGCTAGGCCGCGCCCTCGGCGTCCCCACACTCCGTCGCCGTGGCCACTCCTCGCCAGGGGCGGAGGGGAAACAATGTCATGGGCTGAGCCGAGCGGCCGGCGCACTCACCAGGGTGAGGGCGGCCCGGGTGGCCTGCAGTTTCCTCTTGCTCACAGCCCGGACAGTGGCTCGGACTAATGAAGCCGACATCTTCGCGGCTCTGGTGCCTCCGGCAGGAGATCAAACTGCTCACCCTCTCTCCATGGACACGGCCGCACGCACTGACGCCACAAGCTCCGGCGCACGGCGCCTAGGCCCCGCCCCACGAGTGCCCGTCCCTGCGCCGCCCACCGCCTCTATTGGCTGGGCCTTGTGAGTGACGGCCGGTTGGTGAGCTCAGGGCCCTGGAGGATTGGCTTCTGGAAGTCACGTGGGGGACATCAGTTAGGGGACATGGAGTGACCTTCTGAACACTGAGAGACAGTGGTGTCTCTAGGGATGTTGTCACCCAGCGTGGTAACTCAGCGTCACACTCCCTGGGACCGCGTACCAAAGCATTCAGAACCCTTTAGTAATATTTACTATTGACTTTAACCACAGAAAAGTGATGAATTTGTAAATATCTTGAATGCAATATGAATACAACAAAATGGTTTTGTAAAGCCTTTCCAGATTGAAATACAACTTTTTAACTTACACTTAAAGCTGCAGAAAAATTTACCTTTAATTATTATTGCCCTTATTTTAAAAATGATTGATAGAGGTTCACGAATACTGCTTACCGCAATATTGTAGCTAAAACAGCAGGAAATTGGCAAATCAGTCTGTAAACATACCAGCAACAACAAAAACAACCCGTGTTTGTAGCACAGTGCAAATGAAGATATGATTAAGCATCGTTGTAATTGGGTATTAATGACAACTCTGACAAGCAAGTATTACTCCGTTATCCAATCATTCTAACGCATCCGTCGCTTATAAAACCATAATTATCCCATAGAAGTTCCAAGATTGTAATCTTTCTTAGAATGCTGACCTTAAATCGCTGTGCCACCAGGCTCCTTGACCAGTTTTTTAACATAACATATTTTTAACACATTTTAGCCTTGTAGCTATATTGCTACTTGTTAGACTTATAAAAATGTTACAACTACCCCCAATTACCTCTATCATGTAATTTCAACTTAACAGTGACTCTAGAGGGGGTTTCCAAGACTACATTTTCCTAGAAGACAGTCTCATCCTTCACCCACGGAGCAGCTAGTGGTTTTGAACAGCACTCTGGTTAGCAGTCCAACACCCAACCTATAGCACTACCAGAGTTGTTATTTTGTGTCACCCTTTGACGGTGTCACCATAGCCCGTTCCCCGGACCCCATCTCCTTGCTGATGCAGTACTTTGTGACCTTGCTAACTCCAGAGGCACTGCTGTGCTTCAAGGCCTCAAGGAGGCAGTGGGCAGCGGGCAGCATGGTCTCCTCCTTTAATCCTCACAAAACCAAACGCATGAATGGATTTGTAGAAGGTGACCTACTTCCAAAAGTCAAGTCATGAAAATCCTATAGATCACAATATGATCTATGAAATCCTAGGGACCATAGCATTGATTGTATAACTCCTGAGGGGACAGAATTGAGAATTGAGTAGATATATATTGGATTATGAACGATATATCAATAACACTATTATTAACACACAAAAAGAGAGACCAATCCATAACTGGCCATAGGGATGGCCCAGGGCCAGGCAGCACTTTGTTCAGTTTCTGTGAATATGGGGTGGCTTGAAGGTATTTAAGAACAGAGGCTTAAGAAGATAGAAGGGGGTGGGGGCAATGAGTTGATACCAAGGACTCAAGTAGAAAGAAAATGTTTTGAAAATGATGATGGCAACATAATGGATGGATGGATTGTGATAAGAGGTATAAGAGCCCCCAATAAAATGAAAACAAAAAAACATAGAAGTCAACCCAGCAAAGGGAACTGGTGAGTCTTAAAGGCCAAATGTTTCCAATGTCCAGACACCTACATATATATCCATTCTTCCTTTTGGTTCAGCCAGCCAGTTTTTCAAAGGTTAGAAATGCCAGACTTATCAAATGAACAAATGCCTGCCTTCTCACCCAAACTGCAAGCATGTTGTATTGCATGGGATGAAGGAGGATTGATTGTGATTCCAAAGCACTGAATACTCACATTCCTAGTGAGTGGCAGTGTGTGTTAAGCATCAGGCTGCTAAATGCAATATCAATGATTCAAACCTACCAGAAACTCCACAGGAGAAAGATGAAAGTCGTCTGCAATGATACAAAGCTATGGAAGCTCCAGGGAGCAGTTCTATCCATCCTAAAGGGTCGCTCTGAGTTGGAATCAACTCCATGAGCAGTGTGTTTGTGAATTTACTAATCGAACTCCATAAGAAATCTGTCAGATCTTGTCCTAATTCTTCTGGATACAAATAAAATAGGGGCTATTCTGTTAGTTCTGCAAATATTCCTGAGCACCCACTACCCACCAAGCACACTGACCACCACATTCAAGCAGAAGAGGAAGCCCAGCAAACCAGAGGATCCATGGACAATTCAGAGGTCCAGCTGGGAGGCCAGAAGTACAGCAGGGTTAGCCGTTTGCAAGAACATCGGGGCAGGCAGCATTTCTTCTGGAAATTTGCAAGTTGAGAAAGGAAGCAAGGGGTTCTGTGGCGATAACTGTTGCTTAGTGCTTTCACATCAAAATAGAACAAACCCTGAAAGTTTTGTCTTTCTTTCATCTCCCAGAGTCTACAAGGTTGGAAAGGGCAGTTCAAAATGCCTGTCAGTGTCTCTGGCAAGGGAACTGCATTTACATTGTCTGTGAAAGGACGGGTACTCCCATTCCAGTTGTACAGTGGAAAAAACTGTGGCACTGAATTGGTAGCGTGCTGGTTTCTCTGGGTGATTCAGGGTCAGGCATTACTTCTCAAACCCTTCCTCACACAGTTACTGAGGAAGATAGAATAAATACTGTCTGGGACCTAGGGACACTCAACAACACTGCTTCTTGTTAATGGTTGCTTAAAGATACTATGTGTCATTTCTTCAGTAATTACAACAGTATATTCTAAAGACTTCAAAAGAACCTTGAACTTAGTATGTCACACTAGCCTCTTAGCTTTGAGGTAAACTTGGTAGGAGTATAAGCCTGGCTATTTTATAACAAAAGTTCACTGCCATCAAGTAGATTTTGATTCTCAGCAGCCCTACAGGACAGAGTAGAACTGCCCCTATGGGTTTCTGAGGACGTACTTCTTTACAGGAGCCTCCTATTTCTCTTACAGTGCAACCATTGCTGTCTTGGCTATTAGTAGCACAATTGAGTTTACTCACTACAGCCACCAGGCCTCCCTGATTATTTTACAAATGAGGCTTAAATTCAAATCTCCTATCTAGGGCAATGCTGGTAGAGATTTACCTCCTTGGTTTTCGAATTTAGCATCCAGTGTATCCTAAAAACATGAGTCAGAATCAGCTCAAAGGCAGCGACAGTGCCTAATACACAACTTAAAAAACTTAACAGAAACCTAGTAGTATACTGGGTATGGCCTAGGCTGCTAACCACAAGGTTGGTAGTTCAAAGCCATTGCAACTCCTAGGGTGAAAGACTTCCTACTCCTGTAGTTAAGTGTCAGAAGCCCATGGGGTGGTTCTACCCTGTCCTGTAGGGCTGCTGAGTCGCAACTGACTCGCTGGCAGCAAGTTTGAGTTTTCAATTTGAAATTTGGCTAGTGGTTTTTCAGGTCCACGAAATTATGTGGTATGTTAATGCGACTTAAGACTATCAAGCAATGTGTGTGCTTCTTTATCTTAGGGCAACAGCTGCCCTGTGACATGGAAACGAGTTGGGCGGAGTTGTCCTTGAAGTTTGTAGGCTGTAACAACTTTTAGATTCCCATTAATGTGGTTAAAAAGTTAGCACAGGAAATGTTCAACACTCTGCTTCAGGATTTAGTTTCAGTTCCAAATATTTTAAAAAATGTGTTCTAACTTTTTAGATCCATGAAGATTGGATAGATTCCTGAAACTACTGCCCTGCAGTAATCTGTAAACATTAAACCCAACATATCCCCTTAAATCTTAAAATCATTTTAACTAGTAGAAAGTGCATGCCTTTTAAGATCTATGTAAAATCAACTTGAGACAGCAAGGCCAAAGCCTGGATAGGAACCTGGGGGGCCATGAGTCTGTTAATGGGGGAGAAAACCCCAGAGGTGAGGGTTGTGCACCTAATGAATGTAATCAGGTCACTGAACTGCACATGTAGAAACTTCAAGTGGTGTATGCTTTGCGGTATTCTCCCTCAACAACAGAATAAATACAATTGTTTTCCTAATAATACCTCCCATGATTCTCATGACTCGGTGGAAGCAGTGGTGTGATCACTATGTACAGACAAGAAACTGAACTGTCAAGAACATGCTTGCCACAAGCAGAGCTTGAAAATCAACAGCCAGAAGCCTAAGTAAGTCTAAAATGTCACTCAGTGAAAGTGTGCTAAAGTTCTTGACTGCCGCCACCCAAACAGAACTCCTCTCAAAGGAAGATACTGAGGCCCCCCCTTTTTTTGCAGTATTAATGCTTTCTTTTCAACTTTCTTTAAAGTTACCGGTGGAACACATTTCAAAATTTAAAAAAGCAAATTTATAAAAATTAAATCTGCATCTTGCTTGTACTGTACACACTAAGCAAGGGACTAAGAAAGTGTAGAATGTGGCCACTAGATAAGCAGTAGCTTGCGCCTGAAAGGGGAAGGACCTTGGTGGGGTCACCGAGTTTCAGAGACACCAGCTGTATGTACAAGATAGCAAAGTCCTAGAAATTGGACAAAGTGTAGAGCAGGCGTTGGCTAAGTGCTGCGATGGGGCTTTGATCTGTACCAAATGAAGGGAGCTAGCATCCAAGGAAGCGCATTGATGCTGTTCACCGGAAAACTCAAGTCGTTTCCTGTTGGATCCAATGTGAGGGAACTGAAAATCCAACAAAAACTCCCAATATATTAGGCAGAAAGGGAGTAAGGAAATCCGATTTTGAAGGTTCAGAAGCTCATCTTGAAAAAAAAAATCTACTATCAAGAAGATTAAAATTTAATATCGTCAAAAGGACACACGGAAACAGTTTCTATTAAAAGGAAGCGGATATACAAATAAGGAGACTGTGGCAGGAAAAGGAAAATTACAAGTGCAAAACATTCCCATTGGAAAGAGAAGACCAGAATGACACACAACAATCGAGCTAGTGAAGACCAAATTTGAGAAGTTTTTCTAGCAATAAGAAAAGATGATAATGGGAGAAATCATGAGAAAAGACAAGGGGATGGAAATATGCAGGAAAACACATTGGATCTCTTTTGTTTCAGACAAAGTGACAGAGGAGATATAACTTGAGAGGTGCAATTTCTCCCCTTAGAAAGACAGATACAAAACATAGAAGCATCTAGGCAGAAAATTGACCTATAAGGGAACACAAATTAAGCTGGTCTCAGATAGCAGAAAACAAAACAGCATTATTAAACTTTTCAAAACGAGTGTGACATTAAGTGTCTGCTCCGTCAAGGTGACGCTCATGAAGAAATCCCAAGAGTAAAATCTGGCAGAGCCAGGTTTCAGTCCAGGTTGCACAACTAACTTGTGATTCCTGTGTTTGTGTTCAAAGTGAGTAAGGGAAAAAATCCCGTCTTCCCATTACTTATTAATTCAAATGCTTTAACATCTGATATTCTTCTTCTTTCGCTGGGATGTCCCTTGTTTCAGATTGGTCTATACTTTGAGTCTTCATATCTAAGAGTTCTCACCTGGCTTGCCCCTTGGCAGCCCTCCCATCCTTTCCCGGCCCACATGGCTGTGCACTATGGCTGTCCCCTGCCAATGCGTGGGAACTCAGAGCACAAGTCACGGGGACTGTGTGTGTGCACTGTCATTAAAGGGGGGCAGACCTGTCCTGTCCTTACCCAGGGGGTTTTGGACTCTCACTAGAAAAGAATGTGGAAGAATTACAGGCTGAAAATTTGATTTTATTTCAAAATGATAAATAAACCGAGGCAGAGTTCTGACCACATACGACTTCAGAAGGGAGCTGTGAAATTACAGCAACAGTTCCTGGAGGGCTCCAGCCACCCCAAAATGACTCCAACCAAACTTGAGATGGGCAGAGTCCTCTGTAATCTTCTGGGATTTGAAAAGTTCTCTACCCTAATTTGTGAATTCATAAAAAATAAAAAGCACTTTTATTTTGTCATTTTTCTCTTAAGAAAAGAAGTTTTTTTAGTGGCAAGCAGGACCACCTGTCCTCATTTCATTTTTTTTTATGAGCATAGTAGCTATGTTCAACTGACAAAATTAGAGGGGAAAAAAAATCAAAAACCCTCATCCATTGAAGGCTCACATAGATATGTACTCAAGTCCATGTTTTCACTTTTTCTACAAATAGCATTAAGTTTTTTGTAAATATAGTTGTAGCAGTTCACACGTATTTGATACGTGTCCACATAAGGGATCTGCAGACAATAAATATAATTTCCCCTCTTCTAAACACACAAGGGATCTATGGGGGAGGGAGGTTAATGTACTGGGGTTCATCAGCACACATTTTAGTGTACTCTGAAGGAATTAAAAACCATCCAACTGTATTCACTGAATACCGGCGTAGTTACATCTTAGTTTTTTCTTAAAAAAACCTGGCTTAAATACATATGTCATGGCTTTCTATTAAAATCTTGAAATCTATGGGTATCTGTGATAGATAAGGTCCTATTAAAATTTTTTTTTCCTCATTAAAAATTTCATTAAATTAAAAAAGTTCTGACATTTCCCTTCCATGTTAAACTGAAGTCTGATCTATGTTGCTGTGTCCTGTGAAGTGATCCTAATTCTCAGAGGGAATACAGATGCCTGAACAGCCAGAGTGCTTCATTTTCGGTCCCTCATGATTCCTGCTGGGTCCTCTTCGGGGAGGCTTTTCCCTGAGTCATATATTTACTGGAAAGGCTACCTAGAGGAGGGGAGAAAACAAAACAAAACACCGAAAATAAATAAAATAAGCCTGGCTTTATCTAGATAGCTATGCAATTTATTCTTATTGTTAATTATTCATGGAAACATTGTTACACGGTTGGTCATTTGTCAAATATTAGTCTCGATAGGAAAGTGAACACGCTTGGTCAAAATTCTTTGTCAGTGTAGACCAGTTGCTACATTGGTTATAAATCCATCATTACAGCTCTGTGTTCACCCTTGCCATGTTAGGATTGACAGTGTGGCTGCAGCAATGTGCTCCACCACAGCAATGGCTGTCAGGATGGCGCAGGACTGCGCAGCATTCTGTGCTGTTGAAAATAAGCTTGCTACAAGTTGGAGCCAACAAGATGACACCTAGCCACATCGACTTCCATGGTGTGCTGTGGGCTGGTAAACCCGATTTTTCAAGTTCTGCTTTGCATCGATCAGTATCTCACTGGCAACAAAAGAGAACTGCAAAAAAAGTACTTAGCTGGAAACATTTTGTAGCATCATTACTCTGCAGATATGGTGGGTGGTTACTCATTATAAGGGGGAAAAAGGAAATTTATTACATTCACAAGTGAAGGACATGAATGAGAGTTGACAAATAGAGACATACTAGAGAACAATGAACAAATCTTGGCTCTGAAAAGATCAATGAAAGTATAAGGGAGTTGAGAAATTCTGAAGTGATTTTAAGAAAACGGAATATATAGCGGTTTTCCAAAGAATTCCTTTACCCTTCTATTTTTCTGCCCATTAACTTTCTGAAGCCCCTCTTTATTATAAAGATGCCATTTCAAGGCAATGAATGGAAGTAAAAATAATGAATTATTATTTTTTTTTAGTTTCTAAATTCACTTTATTAAAGAAGTGTATCCAAAGGCATTGAAATTTTCTTTTAAATGTGTCTTTTTAAAAAAAAAACATTTTATTAGGGGCTCATACAACTGTTATTGCAATCCATACACACATCAATTGCGTAAAGCGCATTTGTACATCATTCTGAAAACATTTTCTCTCCACTTAAACCCCCGGCATTAGGTCCTCATTTTTCCCCTCCCCGCACCCCCCTCCCTCATGAGCCCTTGATAGTTTATAAATTGGTATTTTGTCATATCTTGCACTGTCCGTCTCCCTTCACCCACTTTTTGGTTGTCTGTCCCCCAGGAAGGAGGTCACATATAGTTCCTTGTAATCGGTTCCCTCTTTCCTACCCATTCTCCCTTTACCCTCCCTGTTTCGCCACTCACACCACTGGTCCTGTAGGGCTCATCCGCCCTGGATTCCCTGTATTTTCAGTTCCTATCTGTACCAGTGTACATCCTCTGGTCTAGCCAGACTTGCAAGGTCGACTTCGAGTCATGGTAGTGGGAGCGGGGAGGAAACATTTAGGAACTAGAGGAAAGTTGTATGTCTCATCGTTGTTACATCGCACCCTGACTGGCTCATCTCCTCCCTGAGTCCCCTCTGCAAGGGGATCTCCAGTGGCCTACTAAAGTGCTTGGGATCTCCACTCCGCACTACCCCCATCATTCACTATGGTAAGATTTTTGGTTCTGATGATGCCTTATACCTGATCCCTTCGACCCCTCGTGGTTGCATAGGCTGGGGTGCTTCTTCCATGTGGGCTTTGTTGCTTCTGAGCTAGATGGCTGCTTGTTTACCCTCAAGCCTTTAAGACCCCAGACCCTATATCTTTTGATAGCCGGACACCATCAGCTTTCTTCACCACATTTGCTTATTCACCCGCTTTGTCTTCAGCGGTTGTGTCGGGAAGGTGAGCATCATAGAATGTCAATTCAAATAATGAATTATTCAATAACCGACATTATGTCAAATAACTAATTTGGAGGTGGTGGTGAAGTTTCCTTACTCAAACCCTACCTTCCCTGCCTAAGCAATTACACCACCACCACCCCCACCCAAAATGACTAATTTAAATGCAAGTACAAGAAATAGTGAATCTTGGGGTGAGGAAGTTTCCTACGTATGTCAGAATGTGCTTTATTTGTTCAGGATGCTCAGTATGTGAAACTTCACAATCAATGAAGCAGAGAAAAATGGATAGTTGGGTAAAGGAGTAGACATAGAGAAAGGAAAATGGCATGTCTGTGTATACAGGAAAATGTTCACTATCAATGGGTAACCAAAGAAATGTAAACAAGTTATCAATTTTGGAATGTTAAATTGTTAGAGAAAGATGATTCAGGGCAGGGAGATTAGAAACTTTGCTAAAGGAATATTCATATAAATCTTACTAACAACAATTTAAAAATGCAACTGGAAATGTCCAACAGTTTTGCTAAGTTAGTTAGTTACTTAACAGTTTGCTAAGTTAGTTAGTTAACAATTACTAAGTTAGTCAAAAAGTATTGCTGTTAAGTTTCAGTTCATACGTGCATGGGTTTATTCCCATGTTCAAACAGGTCTCTGTAATCAGATGGTGGCTGAAGACAAGTTCTCTCAGTAATGTATTTGACTCTGTCTCCTTTGGGTGCCCTCAGAAAACAGGTCCAATCAAAAGTGTCTTCTGAAGGGATCTGCTGGGCCAGTTAAATTCAATACAAAGATGTCAGTTCAGAAGTCTATGACAACTATTTTTTGAAACCCAACAGGGCGATCCTGACACAATTTCTCAAAGGACACTGAGTAATCATAGGAGTTTATTAGGAAGGAGTTTGTTTTTTAACATTGGGAAACTGCATTGGTGAGTAAAAGGCCAGGGAAATTGCATTGAAAACATTTCTATCACAATCTATCTGCCTGTTCAGTGTTTGAGGACGCCATGGGATTTCCCATGAGAATTTCATTAAGAAACCTTACCGCACCCACCCTATACTCCTGAACTTGCCCCTTCAGATTTCTTTTTGTTCCCCAAATGCAACTTTTGAAGCATTTCAAAGAAACATGATTTGGGTCCTTCACGGATGTGAACACTGCCTTTTAAGTGAAAGGAAGCAGAATTCATTGGAGGAAGGGTGAGAGAGATATAAATACTACCTTCCAAAGTGTACACATGTACATGGATGATATGTCAAATAGCTTCATATTTTGGTATTTCTATTTAATGAACGTTTCTATGATTTTATAGCAATACTTCTTGGCCCACCCTCATATTAAAGGACCATATTATTGTACCTTTCTATATTTTCAAATGGAAAGATAATAAAATAGTAGAAAAGCATAGAATAATATTACAGAGTGAGTTATAAAACAAGAATAGAAACCAATAATTAAGAACAAAAATACTCCACTAATATTTGGTGCCTCATTTGGAGATACTGTGAAGATTAAATGAATTAATACACGTACAGCAACTGGAACAGTAGCTGGCATAGATTACCCAATAAATATTAATGATGATTATTACATTCATGTAAAAAGGAAGAATTATCTCCAAAACCTCAACAGTGGTTAATACTAGAATGGAGGAGTTGATGGATGGTGGCTTTGATTTTTATTCATTTTACTTGTACTTTCTAAATTTTCTAAAACAAATGTATTAAGTAAACAAAGACAACCACTGTGCCAAACAAAAGCACCACAATACTTTTCAAAGCAAAACATCTAAAAAATGAGTGGTAAGAGCCAGGAAGACACCTAGCCATCTATGGTAATATTATATCAGAGT